TGTTAATTTATGTTTTTTGAATTGGACAATTTTTTCTCAACCAACAATGATTACAAGGAAAAGGAAAAGAAAATAAAATTTCAAAAAGAGTTGGGCAACTCGCGTAGTTACAAGAGGCAAAAGCCGTCGAAAACCGACTAGCAAAACCATATGGAACACGTCAAAATAACAGTTCACAATTCACGTGAGTCAAAAGTAATGTATGCCATTGTTAAAGTATCTCAAATCCCATTATTTACGGGATTTATATTCTTTTCATATATATGTTGTCCCCATCCATCTATTAGCTCAAGCTTTTAGATTAGATATTCTAACATGGTATCAGAGCCAATTCTACACAGTTTATCTCGCTTGCGTGTCTTCCCATTCCTCAAATTCCACTTACCGTTCTTAATTGCATATGAGAGAGGGTGTTAAAGTATCCCACATTCCTGATATACACGCGATCTCTTCCCATTGATCGGTTTAACGTCTTTGGGTTGAACAATTTGCTCTCGATCGACAGTGCTCACGCGGGTAAACCTAAGAAAAATTTGGGCAAACTCGTGTAGCTACAAGAGAGGCAAAAGCCGTAAGAAAAGGGGACTAGCACAAGCAAAGAAGGAACACGTCAAAATAATAGTTCACGATTCGCATGAGTCAAAAGGCGCACTAGGGTCCATTCGATGTCAATTTTGTTGACAAAGTTTTTCTCGCCGCTCGGGAGGAATCTGACGTGATTATTTCGTGCGTGACAAGGGGGTCGGTGAAGGAAGGGCCACCCCCAAGTGCCCTCCTTGTGCTGATGCTTTTGATAGTGAGATATTGTAATTTGTAATGGTAATTACAGAATCTAAATGCATAGTTTGACCCGCACGATTCCCCTTTTCTGAATTGCTAATTATGCAATAAAAAAATTGGGTTAATCACGAGTGATCTCTATCTAGGTGAGGTTAAATTAGCAGTCGTCAGTGATTACTACTCCTTGTTTGGCTCGTCGTTTTGGAGAATCCGAAAGCAACCCTTTTGGATTTTAACCCTTTATTTTCGCCAGAGGATTTCGACCCTTCAAAAGACGGTATTTCTAAATTGATTAGTTATTCGAGGGCGCATATTATTAGTGCAAAAGCCGGTGAAACCGGGTCCGCTTGTTTAGAAAGCACCCTTAAGAAACTGTTAAGGAGTATCGATTATGTTATGAAAAATTTTGTGTTTATGCGTATTAGCAAAGAACGTATTATAATATTTCGATATCTTGTAACATGTATTGAAAACCGCTTTCATCTAGTGCTTTTCGTCAATATTGGGAGTTTTATCGCGATGAAGTACATGAAAATTTCGATTTGGGGGTGACATTATTGGAAATATAATTGGACATAAGTAATTATAGGAGTAAGTAAATATTAATTGCTCTCTTTTTGGACCTTGACCAATCCGACGAGGTGAGGCCACCCCAACATTCAATCCATTGCTCTTACTTATGCCAACGCCATGGACTACATTCAATATTTCCAATTGAAATAGACGGCTTGTAATCAATTTTTAACGTACATTAATGTTGGAATGAATTAAGCATGTTGACTAATGTAAGCTCGGATGTCTTTTTCTTGTGAACCATTTATGAATTTTTCTTTTCTTTTTCTTTTTTTTTGGGTTATATTTATTATATCCTTAGCAATTGTAGTTTTGCTTTGTTAGGAAAACTACAATCAAAGGAAAAAAAAATAAAAAAACAGAAAGGCCAATATTTTAAGAAATTAAAGAAACTAAAAGCCCAAAATTTGTCGAAAACCCATGCTATGTTCCATCATAAATTAATTTCATGGAAAATTGTCAAGGTGTGCCCCCCATTCATAAGGAAAGAATTTTAAATATGAATGATGCATTAAATATGAATTACGCATTAAATGTGCTCGATATTTTCTTGGTAGAATAATAAGCTACAAGCATATTCCAATCGACTAGTTGCAAAAAAATTCAACCTCAATCGCTATCTTTAAACTTTTGACTCCCTGTAAATTTTTTTTTTCTTTTTGGTTTGGTGGTAAAATATTCTAGTAAATTCTGACACCTTCTCACACTTCATAGAAAACTACAAAAACTTAATCAATCTTTAATTTTAAGTAAAAAAAAATTAAATAAATCCAGGGCAGCTATGATTCTGTGTTCTGCCTAACCTGTTTAGAATCAAAAGCACATGCGTTCACGCAATTTTTGCTTGCACATCTTACTTACAACAAACTATGACCAAAAAAAATAAAATACACAAGCATATATATAAAAATATATATATAAATTTAGGTCCGTAATCTTCCGCTTACTAAAAATTTGTTCAATGTGATTAATGATCCCTTGATTTTCGCCGTTACGAAATATGTTTCATACACATCATCACCTCGTTTCCTAATAGTTTAAGTTTCTGGATAGAATGATTTGTCTAGCATGGCGGCACAGATTAAGGATTCGATCTTGATTTCTCATGCTTGTTCTTGCTATTATCCTGTCCGCTTCAATGTTTCGTCGGTTATCTAGTTAATGTGGTGTCGTTCGAGTCCTGTCTTGCGATGCTGGCTCGTTCCTCAGCGATTTAAGGGTGCGTTTGTTTTACTGAAAATTTCATAATAAACGAACATAATTTTCATGTAAAAAATGGTTAGGTTTTATTTGTTTTGTAATTTAGGGAAAGTGATTTCCTTTTTTGCAGAAGGGAAAGGCGTTTTCTTCAAATCTAAATTTGTTTTTTTCAATCTACGAAAAAAGTTTTCTTGTAGATCGTTTAGTTTTCTGTTATCCAAATACCGGAAAGTTGGAAAACAATTTCTCGGAAATAGTTTTCGTTCAACCAAACCGACTCTAAGTTTTTGGACAAAAACAATCGGTCTAACGTTCACTCAATAAAAAAGTACGAGACGGGCTTTCGGTGAATACACGGTGATAATCGATCGCAAGTCGCAACTTGACCTAGCCATAAGTCAACCAAACCGACTCTAATTTTTTGGAAAAAAAACAATTGGTCTAACGTTCACTCAACAAAAAAGTACGAGACGGGCTTTCGGTGAATACACGGTGATAATCGATCGCAAGTCGCAACTTGACCTAGCCATAAGTTAATTTCTTGCTATAGGTGTGGATTACTTGCATCAAAACTTATAAGATATTGTTAGTAATGTTTTATCTCTCACTCAATCCATTGGATAAAATTCAGCATCTGCTTTTGTACTTCGAATTGCGAAACGCGATCAAGAAGGCCACGACCCTCGCCAAATGCCAAGGTACGATCAACTTCTTCCTATCGAAAAGGCAGTACAACAGACGTACCTAGGGTTTTATTTTCGTACACAAGAGCCATTTCTCTAGATTAGGCAAACCAACAGCCAAAATCTTCCATGTCCGATTATTCCGTGTTTTTAAATTCATACCGGACCGACCAATTCGACCGATTGGATTGAGAATCGAATCATGAAGGCTCCAAATCTTACTTGACAAATGGAGGGATCGAAAACCGGTGATGAGTCATCACCGGTTCAATCGGCAACCCTGATCTGGCCGGATCTCTGACGGGTCTCTCTGCCTTTAACAGAAAGTGTACAGAGATGGCCACCGAGCTCCCAAGCCTACTAAGCGGACGTTGTTATTTGTCCAATGACACTACTAATTATGTAAACAAGATAATTTTAGTTCTAAATCAGGAAAACTTATCAACCCGACGGTTGAGCCAGTCGACCCGTGAACTGACCGGAAGCCGGACTGGTCTGGGTACGTGAACCAATGAAATACAAAAAAAAAAAAAACAAAATGAAAAAGAAACGACCAACGTTTTTGGACAGATATGAAGGGAAGGTTCATACTCGAGAATCATAATCCACGTACTGGGAAGCAGCAGTTAAAAATGATTTCAGAAAATTAAAAACTTCAAAAAAGGTGCCAAAAAAAAATAAAATAAAAAAACTAAAACTGAAAAGGAAGAAATGGCCAAAAACGAGGGACCGTTTTGGACGTGCCGCCCCGCCAACGGCGTGACGAGTACCCCTCCCCCCACCCCTCAAGTTTTCGTTGGCGTTAAGACGGTTCTGACCTCCATCTACGCTTCGATTTACGAAACGTTCCACGCCCTCCCCACCCCACGCGCCCGCCCTGCCCGACCGCTCGCCTCCCTTTCCCCCAACCCCCGCGGAGAACGAGCGACCGTTTTGGCCCCCACCCCCCGACGCGCGCGTAACGTGCCGAGGGCACTCCCGTCTTTCCCCCCGCACGCTCCATGCGCAGGTCTCCCGAGCGGACCTTGCCGCCACGTCAGCGAAATCCCGGGCCCCCACCCCGCTCCGAGATATATCGTCTCGAAGCGTCTAAAGTCCCACGGTTGTCCTTTGCATTAACGAGCGTACCGAGACATTTTTATTAATGCAATCTTGTTCATAAATATTTGAGGTCGGGGGTTTTTCGCGACGATAAACTTTTTTTGATCGATTTTTTCTATGTTTTTCTATTGAAGTCCTGCATTACGAAATAACGCTTCAATTCGTTAACTTAAAATTTTCCCCGAGTGCACCTACATAGCCCTGAAAAAGCTTGAAGTTATTTAGAGTGTGTTTGTTACTCTGAAAATGAATGATTTGGAAAATATTATTATTTCGTTCGCAAAAATGAATCCTTAAAATATTTTTTATTGATGAATCATTTCAAACGATATAAGCGATCATTTTTGTAAAAGCATTTTTAAAATTATTTATTTTTCGCGAAACAAATCAGTCGTAGCTATTTGATTTTTTTTTTTCCTTCACGGAGATTTTTTTTTTTTTTTTTACTTTCTTACCGGTCAAGAAGGAAAATCCTTGACTTGACGAATACGAGGAAACGTATGTTGATTCTACGATTACTCCCGTGCGGCCGCTCCCAGCCGATCCGAGCTCTTTCCTTGATCATGTATGATCTGACGTGGCACTCCTCAGTCCCAGTCAGCAAGCTTTCCTTCCTATATATATGAGACGTACTCGCCCCGTCCAGAAATCGCTAGTCTCGCAGAAGCTGGAAAGATAAAATCCGAAAAAAAAAAAAAATTTAAGAGAAATCCACCCACCGAAAAAAAAAAAAAAAAAGAACTTCTGTGAAACCACTGCCTCGTACTCTAGCCGGCCGACGATCGGTCTCCGGCGGATGGAAGCTCCGACGATCTCCTCCTCCTCGTCTCCTTCCACACGGAATGTCCGTATCTCCGATCACCCCCGCCACGTCTTCCACGAAAAGCCCCTGTGCTAAGCCAAAGCAACCTCGCTCGCTCTCGCTTGCAAGTTATTCGACCCTTCGGAGTGGGAATTCATTCTCCGATTGAGGTTGAAGGTAAGCAATTAGCTGCCGATCGGGCCTAATTTGGCCGGATTTATTCGAGCGTTCCTGTGGCCGGACCGCCGCCGAGGTCGTCGTCGTCGTCGTGCGCGCCCCGATTCTGTTCCTGTGGAATGTGCGGGAATTTCTTCTCGAGGGACGCCGGTTTTGGGAGTTCCTGAGCGACTCTGCGATTTTTTTGTTTGTGGGTTGTTCTGTTCTTCTCTCTCGAATTTGTGTGAATAAGTTTTTTTGGGAGTTGGAGAGGCGGATTTGTCTGTAACATGCAAAGGACCGGAGCTCTGTGAAAATGGTGGACTGTTGTTGACGAAGGGAGTAGTGGGGGGACTGAATTTTTTGGAAGCTTGTGCACTGTTGAAGAGGCATCGGCCGCCGGAGCCATGCCGCCGAAGATCCAACCGATCGACATCGATCCTCGGGTCCTCCACCACCACCGCGAGCCTGCCCGGGCCGATGCCGGGAAGCCGGTCCTGAAGTCGCGCCTCCGGAGGCTGTTCGACCGGCAGTTCCCGGGCGTCCTGAGGATTTCGTCGTCGGAGAAGGCGGCCGGCGGCGAAGCTCCTCCTCCTCCTCCTCTTCCCCAGTACGGCAAGGACGGAGGAGGAGGAGGCGGGGGCGGAGGAGGAGGAGCGGCCGAGTTCGAGCCGAGCTCGGTTTGCCTGGCGAAGATGGTGCAGAACTTCATCGAGGAGAGCAACGAGAAGCAATCGGTGGCCAAGTGCGGCCGCAACCGCTGCAATTGCTTCAACGGCAACAACAACGACAGCTCCGACGACGAATTCGACATCTTCGACGGCTTCGCCGAGTCGGGGGCCAACGGATCGTCGGCCGACGCCTCGGATGCTCTCAAGGTAAAAAAATGTTGCTTCTGACTCATCGTTCTTCACTCCCGTATCGTATGAAATTTCCGAATTTTCGAGCTCAACGAACGGAGATGATGTTCTAATGGTTCGCTCCGATTCGGTTCTTCGACGCAGGGATTGATTCCGTGCACCAGCGTTTCAGAGAGAAACCTCCTGGCGGACACTGCGAAGATCGTGGAGAAGAACAAGAACCTGAAGCGCAAGGACGATCTGAGGAAGATCGTCGTCGAGAATTTGTCATCCCTCGGCTACGATTCCTCCATCTGCAAATCCAAATGGGATAAGACCTCCGCCTTCCCCGCCGGTACTTTTTCTCTCTCTCCCTAGAACCCATCCGATCTGAGAACTTCCCTTCTTCTTCCCCCAAAATCGAACTCGTTTGTGAAAAGTGGAAGCTCCGTTGCAGGCGAGTACGAGTACATCGACGTGATCGTTGAAGGCGAGAGGCTGCTGATCGACACCGACTTCAGATCGGAGTTCGAGATCGCCCGATCGACCGGGACCTACAAGGCGATCCTCCAGTCGCTGCCGTACATCTTCGTCGGCAAGGCGGAGCGCCTCGGCCAGATCGTCGCGATCGTGTCGGAGGCGGCGAGGCAGAGCCTGAGGAAGAAAGGCATGCACGTCGCCCCGTGGCGGAAGGCCGAGTACATGCGGGCCAGGTGGCTGAGCCCCTACACGAGAGCCTCCAAGGCCGACGCCGCCGACGACCCCGCCGCCGCCGATCCCGATCCGGAGAAGGCGGCCGGAGGCGAGAAGGAGAGCGCGATCGAGGGCGAGTGCGGCGAGTTCGAGCTGATATTCGGCGTGGACGAATCCGTGCCGCCGCCGCCGCCGCCGTCGTCGCCGGAAGAGGAACCGGAGCCGTCGGCCGGAGGCGCCGGGGCGGGAGAGTGGCGGCCGCCGGCGGTGAGGCCGAAGAGCGCCGAGATGGGAGGAGGGGCCAAGGTGGTCACCGGGCTGGCTTCCCTCCTCAAGGAGAAACCCTAAACCAATTTTGGAAATATCCTTTTTTTTTTTGTTTTGCCCTTTTTCCGCCCAATTTTCTCCGGCTTAAAAAAAAGAAGAAGAAGTATATCTCTACAATATATATATATGGACCTGGAAAATGGAAAATATAAATATGTGTCGAATAGAGCAATATATCTCTATATAAATTCGAGTAATTTCCTCTCTTTTTTCCATCCTTTATAAATCGAAGGTAAAAAAAAAAAATGAAAACGAGAGCGAAAATGAAAAATAGATAATAATATAATGTCCCGTCATCCCTTTTATTTTTTCTCATTTGTAATTTCGTCGAAAAGGGGCGCCGGAGAATCTTCCGGCGGAGCGCGTCGCCATCATCGTCTTCTTCTTGTCCTCCCTCATCTCTCTTCAATCTTTCATGCTCGCGGAAAATCTTGCACGGTCGAAATGAGAATCAACCGAGCCCCTCGATTTTTTTGCTTCTTTTCTTCTTTTTTTTTTTTAAATTTTTTTTCCCCGCAGAGAGGACAAATTACGGGAATAAAAGGGCGGGGTGATAAATTGGGAAAGAGCTTCTCTAACTTCTCCTCCCTTTTATTTCATTTTTCATTTTTTATTTTTTATTTATTATTTATACGGGGGGGGGTGGAAAAGCGAGATGGAACTTTTTTTTTTTGCTAAATCGAAGCGAGATGGAACTTGAAGTGCAGGAGACGGTTCCTGAAAAGGAAACAGAGGGGACCCTTTTTCCCCTTCTCCTTACTCCTTTTTGGCTCATGAAATTTCTCATCTTTTTAGGCTCCCCCCTCCCACATGCAAAAGTTCCCGCTTTCTCTCTCTCTCTCTCTCTCTCTCCCTCCCCGAATCTTTTGGTTTTTCCAAAAAGAAAAGCGTCGAATTTTTCGGCATTTTATAGGGGAAAAAAGAAAATCCAACAATACTTTTGCAGGGTCAGTATTATTTTTATGTGGGGTTTTTTTTTTTTTTTACCGATTCTTGTAAATGAATATATTATTTTGGGGTGGGCGGGTGATGCGTTGGAGCTTGAGCGCACTGGAAATGGATGAGGGGGGGAGCGGTTGGAAGAAAGGGATTTTTGTGGTGGTGACGACGGCAAGGGGATGGGGAGAGGCTCGTGGCGTTTCGATGGGCGTGCGAGGCGTGGGGGCGTGCGAGGCGTGGGGGGGAAGGGGCATTCGAATTGCGTGATATTCCCTTTTCTTGTTTTTATTTCCAGCCCTCTTTTCAATTCGATTTCGTAATTTTTTCAATTTAATTCATGATTTTTTTTTCTTGGGGAGGGGGGGAACTTTTTCTTGTTTTTTTTTTTTTTTGCGGGGGGGGGAAGCGGATGGAAGATGACGCCTCTTTTCTGCCTCCGCTCTGCGCCTCCGTTTCGCTCGCGAGTCCCGTGAAAACCACAACCCCCCCTCCTCCTCCTCCCCCCATCCTCTTCTCAGCTGAATTCTTTCTTTTTTTAAAAAGGAGGAAGAAGAAATCGCGAATTTTGTTTGACCGAGGAAAAGAATCCAACTTTGCTTTTTTTTTTTTTATATTAGTTACGATAAACACGGCACGAATGATCCGTGAAATTCAACCTAATTTGCAACCGCGGCTCTTTGAAGTTCGGATCTGTTCCTTGTGGTTTATGAACTTTAACCCAACATGCAACGCGGTCCCCGACCTTTCAATTTGTTCGATGCGATATTTGGACTTTTTCGTACGTGTCCGATTCGGTCTCTGGACTTGAATTGATGGAATAACAACATCGAATTGAATTGAACTTTTCGCGCGTGTTCGATTTAGTTCCTGGACAGTACGAACACATTCTGAATTGAGCTTTTTGGTACATGATTCCTGAGTTACGACCCTCGTGTTCCTGCGTTTGGATGCAACGTTAAACATTGAATCGTCTTTGAGCCTCGAAACCAAAACCCAACGGCTCCGAATCAAAACCCAAAAGGACACGGAAGCGCCAAAAAAAAGAATCGCCATCACGACATTGGGCTCCTTCATTTACCGTTCTTCCCCAATTAGAAATTTTTTTTTTGATTATCCGCCGTATTTGGGAGGTAATTCTATTCCTTGATAATTTCCAAAATAAATGGAATCTTTACTGGGAAATTAGTTAAAAAGAGTTGAGGCCGGCACTTTTACTCTAAGACCCATTAAAGGAAAACTTATCATTTTCTTTTTTGAGAATTTATTTTTAGTATTTTTTTTTTGCTAAAATAATTTAAATTTTTTGGCATGTTCTTTGCTGAAACTGTCACGCAATAACTGTAGCACTTAGCCTGTCCTTTGCCTACGTTTCCCCACGTCTCTTGATGTGAAGTGATGCTTTCTTTCGGGGGGTATTTTTCTCGGGACACTCGGATATTATCCCCTTTTTTTTTAATATAAAATAATATCGTGGGGTTTTTTTTTTTGTTTCTGGGCCAGAAATAATTCGGGGCTCGGGCGTGTCGTTTCCGTAAATAGATATTTAAGTAAAGAAATAAAAAAAAGGCTCTCTCAAAAAGAATAAAAAAAAGCTGCAATTTTCCCCACCATCTATGCAAATTTGTGCAATTCCGGGGGGGGGAATATCAGAACTCTTTTGGCCTCTTTTCCAATCTTTTGAAAAATAAAAAATAAAAAAAAGTTCCAATTGTAGCACAATGATTGTGGTGTGGTGGGGACTATGGTAAGCCCATCATGGTATGTCGAAAAAGAAAAATTGTTAAAAAAATTTATTGATATTATCCTATTTATGGTGGAAAGTGGGTAGGGTCGGTCGCAAAGGCTATGAGGACTTATTTGGCGTTGTGGGGTCTCTTTCTCCTTTTGTAATTTTCAATTCATTTTCATTTGCCAATTTTTTTTTTATAAATTTCAATTTCGATTTCGATTTCCGAAATTTTCTTTTTTACTTTTTCGGAAAATGTTTTGGAGGGTGTGATGAGGACTGGTTCCCCTGTAGACATAAGCTAATATTAAAATCAAATTGCCCCAAAGTTTGACAGTAATTATTGCCCCTTTTTGAAAGCAACCCCTCCACCTACTTCTCTCATTTTCTTGTGAGGCGTGACTTTGGTTTTACCGAGCTTGCCTAGACCACACGAAACCGGAGCACTCAAATATTGAGAAGAAAAAAAAAAAGAGGAGGGGAGGGGGGTTGCAAATTTTTTTTTTATAAGAAAAAAAGAAGCATTGGTGGGGTTGTTTATATTTTGGATAAGCTCGAATTTGTATTGATTAAATCTCGAAATTAATGGGATCATTAAACAAGAGGGGCTCGTTGATTCTTGTGCAATGGGTACAAGTTTCCCCAGCTCTTTTTGCGTCTTTTCTTTGCTTAATTTGCACTAGTACTTAGGGTTTACTATTTATCCAATTTTTTTAAAAAAACAAATATGGTAATTTTAATTTGTCTATTTATTGGTGGGATCAAATATTTAAGCCGGAGTGATTGGCCGCAAGAAAAAAGGTGGATCAAAAGTTTGGCAAAAGCCTAAAAGCTAAAAAGGGTAAAGGAAAAAAATGTTCAGTTTTCTTTTTTTGGGGAGTTGTAAACCGAGCCAGTATGAGTATGTGGTCCAATTTGTCATAGTACTTTTTAAGATTTATGGGTGTTGGCATTGGATACTCTGCAGTTTATTTTTATTTTTTTTTTGCACAAATTGTTAATATCGGAAGCAAGCCTCAAATTCAAATTTTCTTTCGGAAACACCCTCGAAATATAGTGAAGCCAAAAAATTGTCGTTCGGCGTTGGGAAGCTAAAGAAAATCCGTACATCTCATGGACGACTCGTTATGGATCTATGCAAAACTTTAGTCTCGCCCGTTAATATTTCGTAATCACGATTTTAACTACACTGTTCTAGTCTGATTTTCCTTTTTCACTGTAAGCGGTGCATGTGAGTATATATGTTTATCGAGTCACGAGGATGTTTTGGAAAGCAATTTATTCGTCTAGGCTTTATTCCTGAGGTATCGACATTGTCTCTGCTAGCGAAAAAGAGGTCCTCACGGTCAAATTACATCGAAGGATTCAATTGCACGATTTTGAAAAACGACATCGTTGTTCTATGTGATGTAAAAATGACGACAAAAAAGAAGAAATTGCAAGGACAAAAGGGATTTGTTGTGTAGCCCAAAAGGGCGGGGCCTTTCAAGTATATGCCCGAGGGAAGGCAGACACCCCATGTCTTATTCATTGGCCTTCTTTTTACATCCTTCTTTTGAATTTTCCACCAGCATTTTACCTCCACGTCCAATTTGGACCACACTTGGAATTGGGTAGGATGAGAACATTTAGTTTCAAGTGTAGGATTCGATTCTCATACTCTGCAAAGAGACCGAGCAAAAGTCCAAGAGTGATATAAGACTTAGAGTAGGACATACCAAATAAAAAACTTGGACCGTAATTCCCATTTCTTTTTTTTCTTCTATTTTGTTTATATTTAGAGTAATAAGGGGTCATTCTTTTAACACTTGGAAGAAATAAGAAGATTTGCCCAACAGAGTACAAATCAACCTTCACATTTTTATATCTAGAGAGTCGCATATACTTTTAGTCATATATATATGGACATAGGGTTTAATTCTAATCATACCCATGTTGCATATTTGACTTTTAACATGGTCCTAATGAAATTCTATGGATTTTGCTTAGTGCATAAGGCACATTGACAAGTACTTAGAGACCATTCCTATCTTCAAAGAACCTTCTCCATGTAAATCCTAAATTACATTATAAAGAAGAGTGCTCTTCGGATGCTCATTTATGGTTGGATTGACTTTATTGAATTGGACCGATCAGCTCGTTGACTTGTGGGTTGTGCTAGACAAAATTCGGGACCAAATTGAACGGGTTCTACACTATATATTATACATTGATTTAATCACTATTGATGCTCCCATCTTGTGGTTGACCGGATGCTTTCAATTTGTTTTCTGAGCAAGGGCAGAAACAAAATGACAAAACAAGGTCATGACTTAAATGATGGAGGGAAGAAAAAAATTAAAATTAATTTGTGTTTCAGTTGAATTTTAAAAAAATACATAGTGGCATGAAAAAGAACAAGAATAGGTCAAACTTGCCCAGCCAAAATTTGAAAAAAATGGACAAATTTCTGGTACATTGATTTTTGCACCTTGACCATACAAAAGTAAGAGATTGCCAAAGTGGCCCAAGAAACAATTTTCGAGGAAAGTAATTGAAAAA